AGTATACGATATCGAGCAAAGCAGATAGCAGATACGCCATACGCGCGCGGACAATATTCTGGGACGAGTTCGATATGAAGATTCATAGACTCGAATCGTCACACATGGGCTCAAAGTAGCAGACCATCCTGGGCGTAATGATTGGTCGAAAGATCTCTTTACTTAGATCTGATGTGGTGGTATTGGCACATGATCATAGATCGGGATTGAGCTGAGTTCACCAGAGGTAGCTCATTCTGAGCTATTCACCAGCTGAGCTCCGGTTGTAAACCACTATGGCGACTAGCACAATGCTGTCAACAATATCTGTACGGTTGGTGCCTGAGTAGATTTAGGTACTTTGATCAACGTCGTCTGCAGTGGTATCTTCTGTGGCCCTGGGCCCTTCCTCTGGTTCCAGAGCAAGCTCGAACTTCAGACTCGAGCCAATGCACTGGAATCTGATCGAAGCACGTGCGAGGTCAGATTTCATCAAGCTCAGCGTACACCTACCTAGTGTAGACTCTAGAGTACGTCAGCAAGCAGGCAGGGAATCTAGGGATCCCCTCATGCTTTAGGGTTTCTCTGCAAATGCCACACAGCTGAATTTTAATAATAGGAGTTAGGGTTTGAGCTACCTATACAACTTGTCCGGTCGCCCTCCTTCGACTCAGTGCCGCGCGCTATCCACGGCCGCGGCCGGCTGCGGCCCTGACTAGACGCGGCCGCGCTGCGTGGCCCGCCAGGGAGACGGTACGTCGGACTGAAGGGGACGGCGGGGGACTCGACTCCAATACCTATAGGCTATTGCGCGACCAATAGCCTAGGTTTACCAAGCAGTAACTTATCGGACGGTTGAGGTTGTTTGATCTGACGGTTTACACATCAATTGCAAGCTCGATCCAGGGTCCCAATGGCGGCCAATCAGCGTGCAGCATCGCCTCTGCAAATTTCAAATTCAAAATGAGAGCAAGCTGCACAGACGCTTGCAAAGCTTCACAGCAGAATTGAGCCAGGCGCAAAATTGCAGTCTGCATTTGGCTTCAGTCTACACTTTGCAGAAACACACCGTAGGAAAGTTGCACAAACAAGGGTTCAGCGAGGCAACCCTAGACTGAGCTCACTTGTTCTGCAGAGTGCAATTTCCTGATCAATTTCTCAAGCTTGTGTGGAGGGCACATAAATACAACCATTCTGTGAGCACCTTCTTACCCTGCTCTGCAAATCTAGGTTTACAGAGACTGTCTGCTCAAGCTAGTTGCCTGCAATCATGGCTGACGCCCCCGCCGTCCCCGCCCCCAAGGCCCCCAAGGCCGCCAAGGTCGCCAAGCCAAAGGCGCCCAAGGCCCCCGCATCTCATCCCCCCTATGTGGAGATGATCAAGGATGCGATCGCTTCCTTGAAGGTGAGAATATAAAGTTCCAGGGGTTAGCCTTTGACCTGCAGGCAAGCCCGTCAGCCGGTCCGCTGCGAGTCAATTCAGAGATGTCAGATGGCCTCGTCTAGAACTGAAGCAACAAATGACACAGTGACCTTGATCTGTTTCTGGATTGCTCAATGCATTGCGTGCTTGTTCTTGTGTCAAGGGACCAAGGATCTTCAAGAATGTATTTTGGATGCTGACTAATTTTGTGCAATCTCCAGGAAAGGACAGGATCCAGCTCCATCGCAATCGGCAAGTACATTGACAGCAAGTATGCCGGTGAGCAGACAAGCCTCACGGTTGACTGCTTTCTTCAATCTGTTTTGGGAGTGGAAAGGGCGGCTCGCATACTTCAAGCTCAATCGACAAAAGTCTAGCTTGCTTACAGAAACACGAATTACTCCTTGACGAGTTCCTCCTTTATAGATAAGTATTGCAGTGACTCAAGAAGAAAAGAGCATGCAATAAAAGATTCTTCGTTCGGTTCTAACAACCTCTGTCAAACGAGAGTTGCAAACTGACTGGTTGATCAAGGCTGATTTCCAGTCAACCTGAGGTCTACTCCAGCTTGTCTTTGGTCCATGAAGCTTAATTCAAGGACATCTGAGGTCTTTTCAGAGCTCATCAGGTCTCATCCAGCTCTGTATCGTTCCTTCCAGGCAAGCTGGGCCCCAACTTCAAAAAGAACCTCGCCACCCAGCTGAAGAACCTGGCAGCATCCGGGAAGCTGGTCAAGGTCAAGAGCAGCTTCAAGCTCGGGGAGGAGCTCAAGAAGGCCCCCAAGAAGAAGGCTGTCAGGAAGCCTGCTGCCAAGAAGCCTGGTAAGTGCATAAGGGGGTGGCAAACTTTTCTGCATTGGTCTCTTTCTCAGATGAAAGGCTGTATTTCTGATCTCTTTTGCTTTCAGACAAGGGACGGGTTGATGTAGCTGGCCGTGTTTCACAAGCAGCAAAGCACAGGGTCTTGTGTCCAGGGCACAAACAGGTTTTCCTTGCAAGCAACCTGACAATGGATCCAGCAGACACTTTGGTAGCTTTGTATCACAGGAAAGCTCCTTAATAAGTACAACTCAGTCTAACCGACTTTGACATTCTTTGTGACCAGATTTTCTGTACGGTTTTCATGTGGGGCTCTTGTCTTCAAAGCACATCTGTCACCTTCAGTCTGATGGGATCAGCCAGAAAGCACACAGATAACACTTTTCTGATCCACTACAATCCTCTCTGCAGCTGTCAAGAAGGCTGCTCCCAAGAAGGCTGCCACCCCGAAGAAGGCCAAGGCGACCCCCAAGAAGGCCGCCACGCCCAAGCCCCCGGCTGCCAAGAAGGCCAAGGCTACCCCCAAGAAGGCTGCCGCCAAACCCAAGACCGCTGCCAAGCCCAAGACTCCCAAGCCAAAGACTGCCAAGGCAACCAAGCCTAAGGCTGCCCCCAAGCCCAAGACTGCAAAGCCCAAGGCAGCCCCGAAGGCCAAGGCGGCTCCCAAGCCCAAGGCGTAAGGAGTGCGCGCTTTCCAGGCACCGAGCGTGCTGGACCCACCCAAAACTGGTGTTTTCTAACACCACCGCTATGGAAGAAACTCATCTGCTCCATGTTGAAGTTCTCTGCTGAGCAAAATGGCTGTCTGGTCAAGGATGCTTTCTTGCTTGTGACTTGACTGGTCTGTAAATAGCTTTTTGACACTTGTGGCTTTCGAGAAATACATCAGAGATCAGAGAAGTCTCTCAGCTGCTTGGACAGCCTTTTTCAACTTCCCTTTTAATAAAAGGTCAAGGAACTGATCTCAGCCTTGGGTCTATCAACTTGAATGATGGGGGGATGGATGGTCATTTGCTGAGTTTGACAATCAGGGTGTCCAGCCTTTTTTGCTTTACAGAGCAGCGAGTCACCACGATTCTGAGCAGATTAGTAGGCCACTGCTTCCTGCACACTTTCTAAAAGACTTTGTTACGACCAGATTTTTTGACAGTCCTAGGCCCGGACAGGTTCCCTTGTTTGAAAGAGTATTGCCATTCTCGATCTGGCTGCTTAGCCATCAGAGAAAGGACAACGCCGATGCCTGACCATGCTTCGAACTCTTACTCCGATTGTGGGTCAGCTTCTTTCCTTCCACAATCAATACCACGTCCTAATTTTCCCCCTTGGTTTTACATGGGCTTTTTTTCGATGTGTTGTTATACTTTGCACTTGTCACCAAGCACAGTAGGGTGTGTAGCATTGAGCATCGACTCCTTTAACAGTCCTCGTGCCATAGATGCATCAAGAAAGCAGACTGGTAGGGAAAAGCTTCTGTTCTGAGACAACATGCACGGGGAAAACTGTTCTAGGTATACCACAGAGGGGTCATGCTTTCCGCACCTCGTTACTCAGTTACTGTCTGCTTTGTGAACCTACTGATTCTCGTTTCTCTTCACAGAGATAAGTGGGCCGACTACTTTTCACCCTGTTCGTGGAGCGATGCCAGAGCTTGCTTGCTTCTCCTTTCAAAAGTCTGTGTTCCAAGCACCACTTTCTTCTTTCAAAACTACTGTATGACTGTAAGCACTGTGCGTTTATCTTTGCAGCGTCATGGTCGGTGCCCGAAATCGACTCACGCCCATGCAATTGAAAAGGGGACCATTATGATTCAGAGACTTACCTATTTCGCATACATGGAAAGGCTAGAAGTCAACGACCTTCGCTCTGCTGGGGATCTCCTCTCTGTGTCTGCGTCATTCCAGAGTTGAACCCTCTTGCAACTCATACCTAAAGCGGATTGAGAATCTGACACTCTGTCCAGGATTAGGCTTTGCTGCCGCTTAGGGCGTTCTGTCCGTTCCTGGCTTCACCAAAGGCCTCCAGGTCCTGCGCAGAAAGTCTGCTCTTTGAAGCTTAGCAAGTGACATCTGACTATTTAAGTAACGGGCTGCCGTCGAGCTTTCCGCTTCTCTGAAACGGACGACATTACCACTTTTTGTACGAGTGGTATCCCTGCTGCTGAAATGGTTGTTTGTTTTTTGTATGGTATCCCTGCTGTCTGCTGGATAGAAAGTCGTCTTAGTTTGCTCAAGGAGCGTGCTACTTTTCAGATTGGGACGGACACGTCGTGTGTACCTGAGAAGGGACTTCAACAGTCACAGAGGCCGCAGGTGCGACGCGTCAGAAACGACTGGAAAAAGCGAATGCGATAAACGTTTCGCCATGTTCTTCAAGAGCTGCGTGCCTATCCTCTCTCCAGATCAAAAGCCTTCAAGCGGTGTTTTTGAATCAACTCCTTCACTCCCGGAGATGATGGGCTGTCTTTTCTTTGACGTCTTTCTCGTACCTAGGAGGTTTTCCCCCTCCTGGAAACCTTGGTGCTAACGAAGCAGACGATTACAATCCTCCCATCTTTCTGATCTGCACAGAAGCGACGGCTGTCGCTACGTTGTAGATTAGGGGCTTCTTGGCGTGTTCGGAATTGGGCGCTTGAGTCACGTTGCAATTTGCATCGAGCTTTTCTGCCGCTATTCTTTCGCAGTCTCGAAGGTACTGTCCTTTGGACGATTTGCGACGTCCACTTCGTAGTGACGGTGCGATAGCATGAGAGGGCTTAGTACTAAGTAAGTAATTTCTGCCGCCGGTCATCACCCGACTCAATGACGCTTTGGCAGACTTGTCCGAAGGTTGTTTCTCTTAAGCGCAGTCCCTGCAAGACTTGCCTTCCTCGAGCAGCATCTAATGGAAGTACGGGTCGCTTCAACGTTTGTTCTTGATGTTTTCCAGATGAAGCGGTGCGGGCACGCTTTATAAGATAGACGTGGGCGAAATCTGCAAACTGGACGGTGAGTTTATCACCCAACTTCGAGGTAGTGACATTAGCCAATCTCGACAAGCGATGACCTTGTTAACTTTTAACGTTCTTTGCTGCAGTGCTGAGATCGGCGATTTCAGGCCTGTAGCCAGAATCTAAGCATTGTTGGCCTTTTAGAATTGAAAGCTTCGCTTACAATCAACTAGGTTGGGGTGACTGCGGTGATGCCTGTTCACCGTGTAGTTGAATTGCAAAAAACCAGCGCCGATTCAGCAGGTGAATCAGGTTATCATCGAGGGAGGCTGGTTAGACTTCAGGGGAAGTTCCTACTTGAACTTCCGGGTCGGTCCTCGCTCCGAAAGAACGAAGACAACTCCTTTGCAAACGCTTAATCGACAGGGAACTTGTCGTTTGCCCGCTGTGGGATGCAGAACGGACTGCGCCCTCAACGTGCATGTTGCAGTGTTGGAAAATCTCGGTTACTCCACTAGGAACTTACAGATTTCAGACCCTTACGTGGCAGGGACACGTGGCACTCGGCTTTCCCCCCCGCAGGCGACCCAGCGGGCTGCATTATGCTGGCGGCGGTCGCCGTTCCTATTGACCGGCGTGAAAAAACAGGCTCCGTCAAGCACGTCAATTCTTCGCTCTGGTTCGGAACTCAGTCTTGGGGTCGCCTCGGAACACGCTCAACTTAAAGTCCAAAAGGAAACCCCAAAAACAAACCCGAGTACTTGTCCCAACGCAGACCCAAGTACTACCTAATGCATCCGCCGAAACAAATGGTATCCCGTTTCTGAGCCTACAAGGGCTTTCCTGCGTCTCGAAGTTGTTGAGGTTGTGCAGACTCGAAGCTCGATTCCTCCGTAGGTCGTGATGGCTTGTTGGCATTGAGCCAGAAATTTGGCAATGCGTCTATGCGTTTGTTCTTCGATCGTTGGTCTTGTTTGCAAGGGATCATGACGTGGCACGGGCGCGAGTCAGCGACTGATTCTAATAACTTATTCAAGTGCTCTACGGACTCGACTCACTGACGGTGCCTGGCCCCACCTTGAAGGCGGCAAAGTCGCGCACGCCGGCCGCGAAGCCGAGGTCGCGGTTCGCTAACTTGTCGATCTGCTCAGGGTTTGTGACGTCACCCAATCATAATGTCCGGAAAGCTTGGAAAGCCTTCAATTATTGCTCGAACGCACAATTAATTCCGATTGTATCGTGATTTCCCCAGGGCGCACCGAGAGACGGGGTGGGTTAAAAGGTTCAGCGTGGCGCAGGGTTAGCAAATTTGCCAACGAATCGCCGCTATCGGAATGGGTTATTGAGATCATCAAAGGGTTTAATTTTACCGGCCCCGGTTGTTGCAGACAGCTAGCAGGTAGATATCGCCGGGTACGGTATTATCCTAAAACACATGTGCTCACTGCTAACTTTTCCAAGTTTATAGGCCGGTACTCTTGGCAATTATAGGTACATGTTGCTGTCACGCTTGTACAAAAAAA